TATTCTGAATTAATTTTGTTACGCGTTTATGATGTTTAAAAGGGACGATGTAGCATTTAGTTGAGACAAAGGTAATGTGTGCGACAGATTAAGGATGAGGCAGGAATTGATTCTGAATTTAAGATGATCTTACTCAATGGTTTAAACAAAAGATGTAACAATAATATTGGAAAAAAGAAATAAACATTTACAATATTCTCTTTAAGCGAAAAAAAATTATTGTAAGCCAAATCAAAACATTAACAAAACAAAACAATCCTTGGATCTAACATCCAAACTAAGCAACAAAAATAAATAATGAAAATAAAACCAGATCTAAACTAATTCAACTACAAAACTCAAAATTACATGGGGCAAAACACTCAAACTTATCTAACAAATACAAGTTAAACAAAAGCAAACCTAACTAGAATATCGTAAGGTTCAGTTTAGAATCACAACAACCATCAAAGCTGTTACTTTAAGCCAACAAAGTTTAACAAGTAAACTCTTAATTAGCACAGTAGAACTGAGATAATCACTAAATAAGCATGCCAAAACACAAATTGCATGAAGCACAAAGGTATGCCGAGTAGGCATGGGACAATAACCTTTTTCAAGGTAAATCGTCAAAATTTTCTACTATACTGTTTCTAAAGTATGGGTAAAATATTTTTTTTGTTGTTTTTAGGACAACAGTATCTCCAGGAGAAAAGATCTCCAAAGATGCCATTTTAAATTGCAAAACAAATCAGTGTTTTTGAAACTAATGAAGACAATAGAAGTCAATGAATATATTTTTTTGCATATATATATATATATATATATATATATACACACACACACACACACACACACACATCTTGCTACTCTATAATAATAATAGCCGTGTAATAATCACCATAATGTACATCCAGCCGGTGGTTATCACAGAACAAACCCAGGGGTTGAGCAGGGATGAGGACAACAGAAACGTCTGATCTAACTCCTGGAATCTGCACAGTTGTTGTAGAGTGGCAGTGCATGAACTGAGGCTAACCGATGTGGTAAAGCGTACCGTGAGCTGCGGGTGCATGTAGATGTGGAGCAGACGCACGAGTTCATCAGACTGTAGGAGGAGGAGGATGTTCATTTCTCATTATGATAAACTCAATGATGCTCGTCTGAGATTATGATTGACCCAATAAACTTTTGCCATAATGAATCATTTCAGATCAGTTTGTGATTGATTAACCCTTTCATCTGATTATAACAGACGCCTTCATTTTAATAATTAATAAACACACACACACACACACACTGTTTAAAATTTATAATAATAGATGTGTGTGTGTGTGTGTGTGTGTTGTCTGTTGATCACTGATGGTAATAAAGCTCATGTCTGGTGAAGCGGTGTGTGTGTGTGTGCATGCGTGCGCTGCATTCAGGACATCTTTATCTGGAAAACACACACACACACACACACACACACACACACACACGCGTATGCACAAGCCTCTCCTGCACACACAAATGTGCACACACACACACACTCACACACACCTTTACTTACAAACACATCTCTTTCTCTCTCACACACACACACCTTTTCTCTTACACACAGCCCCTCAATCACAGTGTGTGTGTGTGTGTGTGTGTGATTTCTCTGCTCTTCACATGTGGATAACTCTGTTTGATTATTGATGGTTCAGGATAGTTTGGTTCTTCAAAGCTCATCCAGCAGCCTGTTTTCACCTAAATCATCACTCTAATTATTATTGTGGTTATTCGAACTGACCCTTCGCTAAGCCCCGCCCTCCTTAGTTACTGTTGTTACGCCTGTCAAGCTTTCGGGCCTGGCATGTCTATTACAGTGTGCGTGCGCCGGTGTGCATGGGGTGGGGGTAGACGCTAATAAAATACAATAAATGGGAAATGTAATAAATAATATAAATAATTCTGGTTAACTTCCGGCCACAACCATATCTGATCTAGCAACAGCCTATGCTGACCATTCAACAGAGTTCATGCACAGCCGGAGAGGAGACGGTAAAAAATAAACCAACAACCACTAATTAAACCATGACTTCTCTTGTTTTAGCCAGAAAGCCTGATAGACTAATGTTGTGCAATAAATACAGCATTACTGTGGAGGAAACACGCATGACCAGTGCTTCTACATCATTCATTCATAGAAAGAGCAGCCAGAAAGGGGAAACTGAGGGATCTGTGCTGAATATTACACTCATGACAGTGAACAGCAGCTATATCTGTCAGTGTGTTTGTGTGCTCTTTATACAGTGTATTCTAATTTGCAGTTAAGTAGATTAAATAAATAAACTGATTTGCAAATCAAAGTGTAAATAGCAGAAATTAACAAATAGATTTACCCTACCAGCAAATATAATCAGACACCAAAAATAAGAGCAGACACTAACCGGCTGTAACATCGCCACCAATGACTGAGGGTGCGTTCACACTTGTGAGTCGACTCAATTGTACTGAAACAGGGATTAAAATTGTTACATTGTTGCTCTTAGGGCATTTTTTGCAGAGTCCTGCTCAGCATTCGGTGGTGTTTGACAGGGTGCACGTGACGTGTCTGAAGAGCGAGGAGAGATGAGGTGGAGAGGGGTGAGAAGGGTGTGAGACGTATTTGAGGATTGGTAGGGAGACTCTGGGATTTCTGGCAGATTATCACTCATTTGTGGGCATCCGGGAGTCTGTGTGCATTTGCAGGAGACTCTGGAAACTCCCGGGAGACTTGGGATGTCTGCTGCCCTACTCATAACTCTCTCTTCATATAGCCGTATGCCTATTACATATCTATAAAACACTGTGATATAGCCGGGCTCGGATCGTATCGCTTTCTCACTACAATTGATCCGCTCCAGAGTTCGTTTCAGTCGAGCCGAGACCACCTCATTCCAGCGATCTTGGACCAATTGTTTTGGCGCGGATCTGAGCGCAATTGCTGGATTCACATATGCTAAACGAACCACGCTAACTGGGCAAACGAGACTCCCAAGCGAAATTGTTGGTGTGAAAGCACTGTTACTCTCCAAAAGACAGATGAAAACATCAGTGAACTGTAGATCTGACCTGGACATGAGGCTTATACATGACTGATAAACAGCTGCGGGTGAAGTATATTGATCGCGAGTGCTCAGATTACGGTCACATCTCTGTTCTGTTGACATGTAATACAAGTATTGGTAGCTGAAACAGATGGAGATATGAGTGTATTGTGCTGCTCCTACAGCTGTTGCGATGGCCTAAATGGAGCAGTGCTCATAATATCGAGCGGAAAAAGGAAAAGGCCGCTGTGAGTCATAACCTAAACACAGTTTAGATCTGTTTAGGGTAAGAGGTCGTCGATCACTGAAGGTGTCGGGAATAGCCAAAACAAAACCAACTGAGCGCCCCTCACAGAGCTTGATCCACACTGGCGTTCCTGTTCTTGGGTTTTAGGTTTTGGGAAGGAAATTCCACCACCCTGTCCAAACTTTAAGGATTCGGGGATCAGATTTGCACAATCCATCTGCACAGCGCTTTGGCCTGTTTCCCTCGCTCAAGCTTGACGGAGCTCCTGCGCATAGCTACAGTTGCTAAGCCACGATTGGTGTGTGGTGGTTTTTGGGTGTGGCTTAGCGAAGGGAACATTATCTTATTTGATCAGGTGACCGATCTCGATTTCAGCCAATCGCTGCTCTGCTGATCCTGATATTGAGGACGGGCAGATTCACAACAAACATGAGCGCTGATCCCAGATCAGTTCATCACACGCTAGATTGAAGAACCAAATTATCAGAGGTCAGTTCAGACTGATCCGAGACCTGTTCTCAGACTGAAGGTAGAGCTGTTGTGTGTGTGTGTGTGTGTGTGTGTGTGTGTGTGTCAGGCTCGCAGGGCTCGGGATGCAGGAGCGCAGCAGGAGAATGGAGGACGGCTGGTGCTTCAGGAGAACAAGGAGATGCTGGAGTCCAGCGACAGCTGAAACACACTCTCCGACACACGGGCAGACTGTCAGCTGTAAATATCCTCTTCATTTTATTCAAGTTTTACTGGAGCAGCTTCTGGCCAAGATTTGGAGACCTTGACTTGAAAGTGTGTGTGACTGACGTCTGATTAAACACTCTCCTGTGTGACAGACACACAACATTTACATTTTAATGATGTTTAAATGATGTTGGATGTGTGTGTGTGTGTGTGTGTGTGTGTGTGTGTGTGTGTGTGTGTGTGTGTGTGTGTGTGTGTGTGTGTGTGTGTGTGTGTGTGTGTGTGTGTGTGTTAGGGTTTTGCTGTGTTGTTCGTGTGTCATTTGAAGGAGTTGTCAGTAGTTTTTGTTGATTAAAGGTTGTGATGTTGTTGATAGTGCTGTAGTTTCATGTGTTGAGCAGTGATGGAGCCATTTCACTGTTCAGTGTGTCGAAGTGTTGGAGCGGCTCGTGCTGGCGCCTCCTGCTGGCCTGACCTGTGGAAATGCGGCACACTCAGGATAAGCATGTATTTGAATGGACTTTTCCAACATTTTGCCGTCTTTATATTGCCCTGTACCCTATAGATGCACTTTATCATCTATCATTTATTGTCTACTATGATTAAATATTATGTTATGTTCTTTTATATCTTTAAGGCTTATTTATTATGTGTTTCATTATGGGCTGCACGAGTTTTTGCTTAAAATCAGGATCAGGATTTTCTCAGGATTCTGTAGATGTAAAATAAAGGTTAATATGATTAGTCTATTATTATTTTTAATTCTCAAACATATGGTAAAACAACACTAATAATATTAGGCCTGTGTGTCGCAGCTCTACTGTTGCTTTAAATGCTCAATATTGTACAGTCATTATAGTGGACCTGAACAGACGTTCAATATGTTAATTCACAGAAAACGATGACATCAGAATACAACTAATCAAATCATCATTATAAAGATGGTTTATTAGGTTTAGCACATGTGCTTGTCATCTGTTATTGTCAGTGTTATTAGATCATTTGTTTTAACTGGTAAAATTAGAATTTTGTCATCACCAGATTCCCTCTTGCATTATATATAGGCTAGGGCTGTTATACTGACACTGTAAACATTTATTTTCCTGCACAACACACTCTGTGTTCACTATGGAAGAAAACACATGTCAGATGCTTGTCGTAATCTGAACTCTAAAATGCATATGATCATTTAAATGATGTGAGCACAGGTTTCACTTCTGAGTGCGGCTCATGGCTGCTGTCACTGTGAGAAACACACACACACACACACACACACACATGCCAATCAAACCTCCCGTACGGTCCTCAAACGATCGCTCTGTGCAACAAACTGAACATTACTGACAACTTCATTACGTGTTATTCACAGCATATGCAGCTTCTGTTCACTGAAGTATTCGTCATGTGTGCACACACGCGTTCTTGGAAGTAAACACACAGCTGGCGTTCAGCTCACATGTGATTTTATGGCCCTGAATACATCATTACATAAAGACAGATGACATTTGTGGGTGAATTTTCACTTCATCACCAAATCTGGCACGGTCTTGGTCTGTTTTAAAGATAATACTGAACGTGATGATGATAATGAGGGGAGAAAAATGGATTCATGTCAGATTAATGCATGTATATATATATATACTCAATCAGCATTCAACTCAGAGCAGATGTGTTGAGTATCATTAAATATAGATGATGCATTTTAATGATTCATGAGCCCAGTAATATTACAAACATGTTTGGTGTGTTTTACTCAAGGTCTTAAAGCTGTTACAGAAAAACTCATTAGCCAGTGTTCAGCTGATTTCATTACTGTACCGGCAGTGCAGACCGCTTCACTGTTCCTTCAGTTTGAATGCATGTGTTTTTGATGGTGGTGTGTCTGAGGCTCACGGTGTGGCCATGTCCATACACTGATCTCTTATTACTCCACTATGCCTGGATATACCCTGAGTGTCTTTATAGGGCTTCTTTAAGGGATCTCCTCCTCCTCCTCCTCCTCCTCCTCCTCCTCCTCCTCTTCATGGTGTTCAGTGTAGAGAGCGCCCTCTGGAGGCCAGACCAGGACAGAGGATTACAGAGGAGTCTACACACACACACTTTATAGATCTCCACATGCTCAGAGTAACACCTGTGTGTGTGTGTGTGTGTGTGTGTGTAATCCTCTGTGTTAAGTGTAATAAGACGCTTGTCAGATCTACATATCAAAAACGTGTGTGTGTGTGTGTGTGTGTGTGTGTGTTTATCATCTGAAACTGGTTATTCTTCATTTTAGTCGACCGTCATGTGATGAGCTGACGCTTCAGTCTGATGATAAACACTGATCTGAGATCATCTGATCTGCTTTAAACACAGCTGAGTTCTGCCAAAACTGCACGAGATTATCCTGCTTCAGTATACGAGACGCCAGATGAGGGTTAAACACTAAATCTGAGAGGAATCCAAAAGTAGTCCGATTACACTCTCTTCATTTATTATCTTTCTTTTTTTCCATTAATGCTTTTCTGTCGGTCTCTTTCGTTTTGTTCTACTTTACCTTTCCTTTCCCAGGTAGCAAATAAATCTGGCCCAGCAGGCATTCATCCGGCACTGGCGTACAGCATGTGGGCCAGACATGACCCGGGTTTGGCAGAGGTGGCCCCGTCTTTAAGGCGGCACACAATACCTGGACCAGATATCATATGTAGTATTTGGCCCAGATGCTAATAACTGATATGTGGGCCGTGTTTTGACCCACATTTAAATACATTTTTACTATGTCTGAATAAAGGGAAAAAAAATTTACCAATCAGGTCGCTTGAGAAAAAGCACACCCATAGCGCAGCTAAAAGGCAATGCTTCATTCATTAATGTCATTGCAGTTGTGACACCAACACATCTGGCCCAGTTCAGGCTCAGTTATGGGTTATTAAATTGGCTGAGACTCAGCTCAGATATGCTCCATGTGTGGCTCTTGTCTGGAAGCCAGACTTGCTTCAGTCATGTACTGTAAATCACCGCAGCATGTGGGCCAGAGCTGGGCCAGAGATGTTTTTCTCTGCGGGTTGTTTCTTTCTGTTTTTTATTTTATTCTTTCTGTGTATTTCTATTCATGATTCTATTTTCTGTCTTTTTCTTTCCACTTCTTTCATTAATTATTATTTTCTTCATCACTTTTCTCTTCCTGCTTTTCTTTCATTACTTTTTTCGGTCCCACTTCATATTAAGTGTCCTTAACTACTATGTACTTGCATCAAAAAAATAAATGCAATGTACCTACTGTGTTTATAATGTGTTTGAGAACACTTGTGGTGCTCTTGAGTTGGGATAGAGGTTGGGTTATGGACAGGTTTGGTGGTATGGGGAGGTTTAAGGGTGGGTTTAGGTGTAAGGAATGGTCAGCAGTGTATTTACACATGTAATTACAGAAGTTAATAACAGATATAATCACATACAGGTTTTTAATCACGCATAAGTACACAGTAAATACATGTTTTTACACAGTAAGTACATTGTAACAAACTATTAACTCCTGTGTAATATTAGTTAAGGCCACTTAATATAAAGTGGGACCTTTTTCTTTTCTTTCTTGGTAATTTTCTTTTGTTTTCGTCAGTTTCTTCACTTTTGTTCGTGTCTTTCTTTTTTCTTTCCTGCTTTCTCTCTTTCACTATTTGTCCATTTATTATTTTTTTGTTCTTTATTAATGTTTTGCTGTGGGATTTATTTATTTTAGTTAGTTTTGTCCATTTCTGTCTTTCTCTTATTTCCTTCATTCTTTCTTTTCTTCATTGTTTTGTTCTGTCTGCTTCTTCTTTTTCCTCTCCTTTGTTTTTTCCATTTCTTTGCTTTTCTTTTGTTTGTTATTATTTCTGATGGTCTTTTCTCTTTTTCCTTCTTCTTTTCCTTTAGTTTGCTTCTGTTTCTCACCTTTGTTAATCTGCTTTCTTTCATATTTTTCATTTGTTTTTTCATCATTCTTTCCTTTTTGTTTTATTTTTAAGTGTTTTTCTTTAATTCCTTCCTTCATTGTTTTCTTTTCTTCCTCCAGCTCAATGTTGTTTCTGTTCATCTTTCCTCTTTCTCTCTCATTCCTTCTTTTCTGATTCTCTCTGCTGCCCCGCCCACTCTAACGCGTGATTGGTCGGCCGCGAGGTGACTGACAGCTCGAGCAGGACACCTGACGCGCGACTCCGTGGCCCATGCGCGCGCGGGACAGTGACGGACGGACGGGCGGGCGGCTGCAGGATGCGGTGGCGCGCTCGGTGTTCTCCGGTGTGCGGATGCTCTGCAGGCACCGAACACACCGCACAATGACTCGGTAGAGTCGCCTTTTCTCACGGTTTATCCTTCAGTCTTGAGTAATGGCGATGGACGCGCCCGCGGTGAAGCAGAGCGCGCCGGTACCGGACATCTGCCCACTGGACCGGTACGAGCCGAGCCAAGCCAAGACCCGAGCCAGCCTGAGCTGGCTGCTGAGCCGAAGCGGACCTGAAGGTAAATGTGTGTGTGTGTGTGTGTGTGTGTGTGTGTGTGTGTGTGTGTGTGTGTGTGTGTGTGTGTGTGTGTGT